TAATGCATAAATAATGAACTTCTTTTTTCAGTCATTATTTGTATTTTAATATTAAATATTAATATAAATTACTTTCTATGGAGAAAAAGGCACAAAAAATACATGGCTCAACTGTGCAAAGTGACACAAAAATGATTTTATGGCACAAAATGTTGAACGTCACAAAATCTTCTATTAGTATTAGGTTCGGGTTTGGTTTATAAACCACCAGTTTAGCTAGCACTAATGAACCACGCCTATCAGCGGGTTTTACTATCGTGGGTTCAAACCCAAGTTTAATCGCAGTTTTATAATTTTTTATTGGTGGTCAAATTATCAAGTCACTTTATAATAAAATGAAAAAATTTTTTTTTAAAAACATCATCATCACTACTATCTATCCTCTTCATCTTTGCTTGTGTTTTGAATTGTTGCATCAAATAGGTGGAGTTCCACATCAAGTTGTGGCGCATAAAATCCAACTAATTGTGATTGAAATATCCCATAAGATTATAGAATTACAAACCTCTTCATAAAATTATGTACTTTAATGATTGTCTCACCATGAACTTGTTATATAACAATATTGAATATGCGGGAACCATAATGATATGATTATGATGATTATTTGTAAAAGTGTTCATTTCCTTACAAATGCTACCATTTCTGCTGCATTATCAGTTGTTATGCCCAATATTTTTGATGATAAATCTAATTCTTTTAAAAGAATTTTTTATTGCATGTACCATATTCAGAGCACTGCAAGTAAGATTCATGGAATGGTATTATATTATTAAAAATTCATGATTTTAAGACAATGGAACCAGTTGGTAAAGTTTCTATTCGAATTATTCGTCTTATTCGTTATGAATTTGAGTATTCAAATTACATTAAAGGTTTATTCAAATAAAACTAACAATTCAATAAAACTAATGAATTAATAAGATATACAAATTAAAATTGCTTATTAAAATTATTTTCTTTATCAATCTATTTTTCTTTCATAGCCCTTGTATGGTAATAATAGTAGATTATAAATATAATTAATCCTTATTATTATTTATAATTTTACAAATAGTTAAAAATAACATAGAATTTGTTGAATCAAGCTGTAAAC